CTCCCACATCTTCCTTCCTTCCTTCTTCCCACATCTACCTTCCTTCCTTCCACATCTTCCTTCCTTCCTTCCTCCCACATTTTCCTTCGTTCCTTCCTTCTTCCCAGATCTCCCACATCTTCCTCCCTTCCTTTTTCCCACATCTCTCTTCCTTCCTTCCTTCCTCTCACATCTTCCTTCCTTCCTTCCATCCTTCCCTCCTTCCACATCTCCCTCTCTCCCTCCTTCCTTCCTTCTTCAACCCACCCTAGGCAAAGCAACTAGGTTAATGGTCATCTTGGCTTATAACCGCCATCAGGAAGGGGAGGGAAGAATTCTGCTGGAGATTTTACTTAACCTATCACTGACCAAACCATAATCGGTGCAAAGATGAAAGTTTTCCCTCCTTAAACCAGCATCTCAACCTTGGCAACTGGAAGACGATTTCGATTCCCAAAATCCCCTGTCTATTCACCCATCTTCAAGCTGCCAAGGTTGAGAAACCCCACCTTAGATCTGTACAGTAGTTGTGTGTAATTGTGTAAATTCAAGCCAGGAGGTGATCCAAGGCTAGTCAGCAACTTTAGTGGCCTACTCAACTCTTCCGTTGAGCCAACATTGCCTTGTCTCTGCCCCACCTCTGCCCCCTTTCCAAATCCACCCATCCAACTTTTCTTTTTTTAGTGACTTTCAAAATATCGAGGCTACTCAGGTTCAAAGGGGATCCTGACCTATCCACCCTCTGCTTTGGGTTTGCCCATCTGCTCACCCCATCATGAACTTCGTGGCCAAGGATTGCAACAACTCCTTGTTGACTGAAGGTCTCTCTTTTTTTAGCCCCAGGGCCGGCCAAGAATTTCCCAAATTCTGCTCCCCAAGCCTGGCTGTGCAAATCAAAATAAACCATTTCCCAAATCACCCTCTTCCCTATAGCTGGGTGTGCAAACCAAAACCCATCAGTTTCTCAAATCCTTCTCTTTCCTTATAGCTGGGTGTGCAAATCAAAATAAATTACTTTCCCAAATCCTCCTCTTCTCTTATAGCTGGGTGTGCAAACCAAAATCAATCACAATTTCCCAAACCCTCCTCTTCCCCACTGCTGAGTGTGCAAATCCAATCCAATCAATGAACTTCCTTGATCCTTTCCCCCCCACCCCCATACCATGAAAGCCGAGCTCGGATTGGGCACGCCTCTCCGCAGCTCTGGCACCCATTGGCCTTTCGCGGAGTGAGTGCCAGCACAATCTCTCCTCCTGATTGGTTGAGGAGGGCCACGGCCTGCTCCAGCCCTCTCATTGCTTGCTGGATGGTCCATGCTGGAGACTCTGGGCTGATGTGGGGCCAGAGCCAGATCCACCAATGGGGGAGCCGTATCTCGTTGTGGTGCGCTGATGCCACAGATCCCTCCGCCCTCTGCCTCCGAAGGTGCCAGCTCTGGGGTGGTTTGAACCCCGATCTGGCGTATTTGAGCCTTATCTGGGTTTCTACACATTTGCATTTAATTCTTAATTTCTGTACATCACATTACATTGCATGTATGAAATAAGTAGAACAAAGTTTAAAACTTGATTTATTGTTTTCTTTTTAAAAATATAATCCAGGGTTGGATTTCTGTTTTATTTTGTTTTTTGTTTTGTACAGAATTTGGGTTTATTTGAGTGCAATGCCTTTTCTTTTTAAACTAATTTTTTTTAACGGCAGATTTGTGTTTATTAATTTATTGATGGCATTGGTGGGCTGCTTCTTTCACCACAAGGCGACTTACCAGCCTAAAAGATAAATATGAACAAATTGAAAAATTAAGAAAGAAAATGTAATGTATTTTATTTTTAAATCTTAAGGTTTTCCCCTCTCCCTGAACATTTCATTATAGCAAATGTATTAATGGGTAAACATAATTTAGTTTAAGACAGATTTATTGGGGTGGGGGTGGTAATTGAGGGTTTTCTTGCATAGAATCTGGGTTTGAGTGTGTTGCTTTGTTTATATATATGTATGTATGTATGTATGCATGCATGCATACATACATACATACAGGTAGTCCTTGATTTACAACCACAATTGAGCCCAACATTTATGTTGCTAAGTGAAACATTTTTAAAGTGAGTTTTGCCCCATTTTATGACCTTTCTTGCCTCAGTTGTTAAGTGAATCACTGCAGCTGTTAAGTTAGTAACACGGTTTGTTAAGTAAATCTGGCTTCCCCATTTGACTTATCAGAAAATTGCAAAAGGGGATTGCATGACCCCTGCAATGGTCATAAGTATGAGTCAGTTGCCAAGTGTCTGAATTTTGATTATGTGACCATGGGGATGTTGCAACGGTCATAAGTGTGAACAAAGTCTGAAGTCATTTTTTCCAGTGCCGTTGCAACTTTGAATGGTCACTAAATGAATTGTTTTACGTCGAGGGCTACTTGTATTTTAAATTTCACAGTAATTTGGTGTCCTGGAAGCTTCCTGACTCACCAAATTCTACCTCTATTCTTCAACCTAGCCTACCTCGCAGAGTTGTCATGAAAATAGAATAGAATAGAATGAAGAATAGAATAGAATAAGGAATAGAATAGAATAAGGAATGGGAATAGAATAGAATAGAATAGAATAAGGAATAGAATAGAATAAGGAATGGGAATAGAATAGAATAGAATAGAATA